ATGTTATCAGGAAGTAGGGATTTCTTAGGATGATATCTCTTATTGGACCGACCATGTAGTTGGGATAGAGTTAGACAAGCTTGCAAATGTAAAGTTTAATTAGTCCAAGAAAAGATAACACCCTAAGAAATCCTTGCCTCTTGCATAATTTCTGGACCATCATGTCTACAACATTTTATACTACCACTAAGCCAAGCATGGGTACGTATTTCCCCCCTTGCAGAACTACCCAGAAGAAAGCTGCAGAGGAGAACATAAAACACCACGCACTTTGGGGGTTTCAGGGAATTAGCACACAAGTGCAAAGAGGGGTACGGGGAGTTGCTAAAGGCCAGATATGCCAGCCTCATAGATCTTGGGCAGTGGTTCTCAACCTCCATAGGCTTGAGACGCACCTCATTAGACATAAGGCACCTCCTGGAAAATGCCAGCTCTTAGCTTTCAATTGTTTTTTGACTACAGAAAAATAAAGCAATTCTTCTCTTGCAAAGAACACAGAGAAACCACAACAGGACAGAATGTTTTTCAGACTATGGATTCCTATTTGAAATCTGAGTTTATCCTGTGAGTCATGTGCAGGTGTTTGCACACATAATAGGTGCCTGTACACAAGCCCGGAGGCTGCTCTGACGCGCTGTAATTACACTGTGTTGCAGCAGACTCGATTAATCGAGTCCGCCAGAGTGTAGTAATTACCGCACTCCAGCCAGCCTCCGCATCTCACATATCAGCATTTGATAAGTTTTAGATAAAGCACCTCCACTGTCACTATGAAGTGTGGGGAAGCTAATACACGAGATTCTGTGCGCGCTTTAAATAGAGCTGCTCTCAGAGCTGCTCTAATTAAAGCACCCACCCACACACACTCCCAGTGCATGTGTAAAAATGCCCAATAGTACGACTATTGTACAGCACCTTTTTAGCACCCTTAAAAGGATCTCAAGGTACCCAAGGGTATCATGGCACCCAAGTTAAGAATCACTCATTGAAGGTGCACAGAAGTTCGTGGAGCATGAATATGTTGGTTTCTTTTTGTGCTGCCTGGCTGGCCTCTTTCTTTTCCCATAGAGGTACGAAACTGGAAAGCGCTTTCCTTTTTCCGGTCATCTTTATTGATGCAGGAAAAGGATTCCACTTATTTTTCCAAATAAACCAAAAAAAAGGACTGAACAGTAACAGTCTCTGGTAATTTTTATATTGCACAGAAGCAGTGATTTGCATATGTATGCCCACCTTTAAAGTGATCTTCGTGTCTAACTCTAAGCTTAACACACAAGCACAGACAAGGAGGAACAAAGAGCTAGCCCAAATGAGAAGGTGGCTAAGTAATTGTATGCGAAGCCTTGTCATGAAGTCCTAGCAGCAAATTTATAAAAGTGTTGAGGGGGAAAAAAAGCATTTACACCCATCGCAACATTACTGTATAAGTGGAATAGTCTACATTCGTCCCTGATGTCATTTCACTGAACGTATTGGAATGACACCACGTGTTAATTTGACCCGCTGTTTTTTCTATGCATTTGGCAATGTTTAGGATGCTGCAATGGGCACCATTTAGGGTACTGACAATACCAGTGCTTTGCATAGTATTAGAAAGAATAAATACAAGAGGAAGATTACTAATAGCATTTTCAAATACACTAGCTTGCATGAAAATGCTACAGCTTGTGAACGCTCCTGTTTCAGGAACATGCTGACTACCAGCAACAGGAAAAAAATCCCTTTTTTCCCCTTCTGCCCAGCCTACTTCCCCATTCTCTTGGCACTGGTCTCCCCCCTTCAAAGACCTATGCACATTCTTAAAGTTAAGCAAATGCCTTTGTCTTTAGAGCATCAGGGAAAAGAGCACGTGGGCCAATAACTTGAAGGAATTCCATTCCAGCCTCAAGAACTCCTCAGAGGCAATTTGCACCAGACCTACAGCTGATTTTCTGCTCTCTCCGTTAGACATTTACATATCTAGAATAGCTTAACCAAAGTCCATGGAGTAATTTTGCAGTTACACAGATCTGGGAGAGAGCAGGATATGACTAAACATCTACCAATGTGACAAGTACATTGTGAACATGTGTGCTGAGCATGAAATCAAAAAGGCACTCCCACAGCTGTTAGGAATTTAAATATAAATGACCTCAATTAACAATTGCCTGATTCTGTAAATGTTCACACTAGGCAGTTTACTGCAAAACCACACACACACGCACACATGGAAAAATGTGAGAGATCATTCAGAACTTAGCATGCGTCCCACTGTAGAGAAACTGGTGCCTGAAATTAGAAACTCCTCCAGGCAGTTTGAATCTGAAACTGTTTTGTAATAATGGATGTCTCTCATACACTGAGTTAGTTATTGGGATGTTTCTTGTATGAACACACTAGGTAAATTTAATAGGGATTGTTGGGAAAAACCAGCAGGAAGGAGAACAGATGACTCAAGATCAGTGGTTTTCAACCTTTTTTCTTTTGCAGAACCCTAAAACAAATTTGAATGGAGGTGCTGCTTTGGACATTTCAAATGGAGGTGCACACGCTTTTGATTTGTAAGTGTGGGTATTCACATGTTTTTGATTGATCATAGTCATCTTTCACAGACCCCTTAGACACAGTATGTGGGCCCCCAGGGGTCCACAGACCACAGGTTGAAAACCACTGCTCAAGATAAAAAACTATTTTGTGAATACTTGAGGTTTGTTAAGAGGCAATGTGGGAATTATTACCTTTGAAGATTTTTCCTCCAATCCAGCTACCCTACAAAATTGGTTTGAATTAGAACAGGAAGAGGCCCACAACTAGAGATCAAAAGAACTGTAACAGGTTTTTAAAGGAGCACTTAGGACACAGGGAGGAGGCAGAGGGAGAGAAAGTTGTTTAAGGACAACCAAGCTGAAACACAAATATTACATTCATGTGAGAAGACATGCATGTGGATTAAAATGCTTTTTATCTAAATGCTTTGTTCCTACTATTGAAATAAATATACTCTGCTATGAAGAAGGCTAGTTTGTCTTTATATACTACTGTTTTTAGTTTATGGGAGGAAAGATCTGCGGGTGCATGAATTCAGCTACTCTCTCTCTCTCTCTCTCTCTACACAGGTCCCCTACTTAAGATACATGGGGGGGTGTACTAGGCAAGGCACATTATGGCCCCTGGCAAATACAGAATGGCTAAATTATTAACTCTATGGCAAGAGGGGATAGGATCAGTGTACCCATGAGAGTTAATATCCTGTGTCAGGGCTTTAGCAATATGAGTGAAGGATAGTCTCATGGATATAGTCACAGCTCCTATGAAAGTCATCAGGAATCCCTCAGAGTCAAGGTTGATTGTTTTCCATGATTGTCTTATCTGTAGGTCTGAATGTGGCTGACAAGGCCTATCCAGGATCAACAGACTCTGTTGCAGCTCAGGCACATGTTTCTGCATGGGGCAGGTGGTTCTGGGTTTTTGATTTGGTCTGCGACACACTGTTTCTGCTGCTCCCGTTTTTCCATCTCCTGTTGTCATCATTTTAAAGTACTGAGATTCTTGCAGAAGACTCCCTCCATTCAGGCTATCCTGGGCCATGGTCTCCCACGAGTTGATACCAATGTTGCATTTTTTTAAGTTGGCCTTGAGGATGTCTTTGAAGTGGTTTCTCTGCCTTCCTTTTGAGCGTACACCTTGACTGAGCTGGGGGAATACAACTTGCTTGGAGAGTTTGGAGTCAGACATCCAGGTGATGTAGCCGGCCCAGCAAAGTTGATGTCCGATGATCATCACCTCGATGCTCGTGGTGTTTGCTTGTGAAAGGACACTAACGTAGGTGCATCTGTTCACCCACTGGATTTGAAGGATCTTCCAGAGGCAGCACTGATGGTACTTCTCCAGTGACTTGAGGTGTCTCCTGTACCTTGTCCACATCTCAGCTCTGTACAGTAAGGTGGGGATCACGACTGCTTGATAAACAATGAACATGGTTTTAGATCTGATGTCATGATCTTCAAACACCCATTTCCGCACGTGTTTGAAGACTGAACTCGCACATCTGAGGTGAAGTTGGATTTCTCCATCGATATAAGCCTTCTGCAAGAGATGGCTTCCAAGGTACAGTAAATACTCAGCGTTCTTCAGAGTCTCACCATGTATCTGAATTACTGGAGCTGGGGCCTCCTCATTAAGAGCTTGTTGATAGAGGACTTAGTCTTCTGAATGTTAAAGCATCAGTCCCATTTTCTTGTATGCCTCAGTAGAGATGTCTGAAGGTCTGTTTCCAAGTAAGCACACACTACAGCATCATCAGCATACTGGTACTCTACAAGTCCTCAGTGGCCAAGCAAGTGGAAGATGTTAGAATCGCAACAGCTGCAAAGGTGGACAAAGGCTGCAGCAGAACGAGATCTCCAATGTCTTGGGCCTCCTTGCCATTGGATCAAGGTCCCATTCTGTCAAGAAGCATATAGAGGCTGATGTGCAGCATTTTCTCCACAATAAAAGAAATCATGGACAAGTGTCTTCCATGGAAACAGTTCATGACTAAGAGCCTCCAGACCAGCTAGTGACAACGGGAGCAGAATTGTAAGGTCTGGAGGCTCTTAGTCATGAACTGGCACAAAGGCGGCAATTACAACAAGGTCATCTAGCGCCTGGAGCCAGGAGTATGATTCAGCAGCTGTCACTGCAACTGAGCAGCCCTCTTCAGGTTCTGCTCTGGTCACCCCATATAGGGAGGGATCTAGAAAAGGTACCTAAACATAGTCTGGCTACCTTTTTCCTGACTGAATAACTGCATCCAGTGGGATTACCTTACTGCAGTCGAAATTATCAAAGACAAACAATCAGCTTCAGGACTTGGAACATCAGGACCATCATGGACAAGCCTGACAGTGAAGGCCCAGAGCACCGCACCACAATTATGGCTCAAGACACTCAGGTGACACAATGCTGGTGTCGTTGCACTGAGCGAGACCCAGCGAGCAGGATATGAGCAGCTCAACGAACAAGGAGACGGCTGGCTATACCTTCTTCTGGAAGGATAAACAGGAAAAAGAATGCCAGCTTCACGGAGTTCGTTTTTCCATCAAGGATGAACTCAAAAGCCAACTCAACAAGTTCCCTATCAAAATTAATGAGTGCCTCAAGATTTTTCATCTTAAACTGGCAGGGGGACAATAAGCCACTGTCATTGGTGCATATGTCCCAACTCTTGATGCTGCTGGGGAAACCAAGGAGCAATTCTACACCAACCTGTGAAAGTCAAAGGAGCTGTGACTGCACAGATCTTTAGAAAATCAGACCATGAGAGGCAGGAATGGATGAACAGAGAGAGCTGACCTTTGAAAAATTGATCTCAGCAGATTATAATGGAGGGATGGTCAGGACTGAGGTGCACTATGGCAGAGCTTGGGGTGTAAGGCAAGCCTGGGAAAGTTAAGAGTGCTGTAGTTCAAGGCTGTAGGGGGGGAAGTTCACCCAGTGTTTATCCATATTATACCACTGTGGGGCACAGCTGTATTGCTACCAAGCATGTAGCCGGTGAGCAACTGTTCATCAGGGCACCCTTGGGGAAAACTAGGAGTAATGGTCAGAAACTCCTGGAAGACTGTTTCAGGCTTAACATTAGGAAAAACTAGATCCCAACTAGGGTGTCCAGACTGTAGAATAAGCTCCCTCCAGAGGTGGTACAATTGCCTACCCTGGAAATCTTCAAGAGGAGACTGGACAGTCATCTCGTTGGGGTCACCTGACCCCAGTTGTCTTTCCTGCTTGGTGCAGGGGGCTGGACGCGATGATCTTTGAGGTCTCTTCCAGCCTCACAATCTATGAAGTTATGTCCACAGGTGGCGGATAGTGGAATGACCTTCAGGGAAGATTAGCTGTGAAATAAGCAGGGGGAGGGCTGATGAATAAGCAGTCACAGACCAAGCAGCAGTACCACCAGGATGTGGTGGGGACAGCAGATGGCAATGCTTTCCCTCCTGAAAAGCCACATAGATCCTTTGACAGCGCTATGACATGGTGAGTACAGGTTGCCACTATAATAAGCCTGCACAGCTCCCAGCCATGGGCCTGCGAGTCCTCAATGGCAGTGCAGGTGGAAGATGTTAGAATCTCAACAGCTGTGCAGGCGGATGAAAGCTGCAGCACGAAATCCCCAGTTGTCTTGGTCTCCTTGCCATTGAATTGAGGTCCCATTGCATCAAGAGTCAGGTGGAAGCTGACATGCAGCAGCTCCTCCACAATAAAGAAGTCACACACAGGCATCTTCTATGAAACAATCATGGAAGACAATCCTCAACTGGGATGGATTGCCGAAGAAGATTATTCCAGGGCTCAAGCCCTGTTTCTCCAATACCAATTCATAACTTTCAAGAACTAAGATAATGAGTGTGGAGGTGGGGAGAATCCCACATGGCAACATCTGGTACATAAGGATAAGAGATGGGAGCAGGAAGGGTGGCTAAATTTTACTCTGGAGGTTGCTCAGATTTCCCTGCAAAGCTCTCAGCAACTTCCCTGAGTTACTTGATAATCAGAGTTCTTCCCCTCCTCCACTCCTCTCTCCTTGCCTTAGGACTGATTAAATCTGCTCTCCAGTGGCTTTTCCTGTATGCCATAACAAACATGCCTGCGGGGCACTGTTAACTCAGATGAGTAAGAAAGCTATGCAGAATCAGTTAGGGGACTGCAGTGACAACAAAGCAAAGACAAAGATCAGGGGGCCTCATTCCCTTTGCATTGACTCTGGCTTTACGCTGCTGGAATTTAATGGAGTCAGTTCCGATTCCTGCCGAGGTCAATTAGATCACAACCAGTCCCAGACACTAAGGAAAAGAGTAAAGAAAATACTAGATTTGCAGGGAAGATGGCTGCAGGTGCCTTGCAGTGACTGGATTATACGTTCTGTTGAGGACTGGACCCTGTGACTTGGGGAAGAGGCTTCTTCACTTTTAATTTCTCTGGACCAAATACTGCTTCCCCCAAAGTCATTGGAAGCTTGGCTGCTGATTCCAGTGGAAGGAGATCCAAGCTCACAGTGAAAATTCAAACCATCACAAAGGTGACTTACACAGGAGAAAGAGCTGGCTATTGATGTGTTATAGGTGCAAGAATATAGCTTCAAAATGGGGACATCATACAAGCAAAGAACTGGTCACAGAAGACTTTATTCTACCATGCCATTTCCCTCCCCCACTTTTCCACCTCCTTCTCCTCCCTGCCCAGTGCCCTCTGCTCCAGCCCCAGTGCCATAGCCACTCTTGATCACTGACTTGACCAGGACTGCTTATAGGACCAAGGGTGGGCAGAGGCAGGGGCTAGCCCATGAGGCTGGATGAAATGGGGAAACCACTGAGCCTCAAAGGGGATCAGTGGAACTTCTGACCCAGACAAAATTATTCCCTGCATTTCTAATCTAAGGTGCAAGGGTAGAACTATTTATCTATGGTAATTTAGCGGTCCATTATAAGAGTTTATGAGCATTTCATGGATGTATGTGGTAGCTGTGTTGGACTGAGACAAAAAGAAATGCAAAAATCTAGAACTCTTGGTTCCAAAATTATACCTTTTATTAGATCAACTGAGAAATTGCAAAAAAATGTCTTTTTTTTTTTAATGAGCACTTCACTATCTTTCACACAACTAGTCTCACCCCATTGTGGGAGGAAAGTATTGTTACCCCAGTATCATAGATGGGCAATACAAAGAAAATCTTTGACCTGTCCAAGGTTGAGCAGATAATCTATAGCACAGCAGCAAACTGAGTCCGGGTCTTTCTAAACTAGCATCATAACCACTGGTCCTTCCTTCATCCTGGTTGTGGGTATTCCCCCAATCTCTCCAGAAAAAACTGCATTGCACTGGTGGCCGAAGTGATGCTTGCCTGTATTCTGTAGGCCTGTCAAAGTCCCACCGCTTGCAATTAAATCAATTGGAGTTAAGCGTGCTCACCAGCTTGCAAGAAACACTCATCCTGCTGCACGCCTGGAGATTACTTTGTAAAATTTCTGTGTCCTATTGAGAGGAATCATGTGTAAGACATACACCGTATTGTTATTCTCCAGGATTTAGGAATATAAACAATATTGTTCTTGTGTAGTTAGCACTGTTCCCATTTCTTTTATCAGAACTTCAAATCTCATCACTGATAATAAAAAGAAGTTACAAAAGTGTAAGATAGCTGTCAAAGATAATCCCGTTCTTCATTCTTATTGAGCAAGACAGGAGCTGCAGATACATCAGCTCTGCAGGATGTTCCAGCAGCTCTGAACTGCTGTTTAAGCCAATGTCAGCCCATCCAAAGAGGTTGATTTGGACTGATGGGATCTGACAGTTCATCTTCCCTTTCACTCTCAATACAAAGCTCTTTGCCACACTGCCCTGATTTCAGGAAACTCCACATATAGAAGATACATTTCCTTTTCACAGTTTCAAACATGAATATTATTATCATATAAACATTTCCATAAAAAAAAATGAAACACGGGGAAACAAGACTAGAAGATTATAAAGAAGAAAACAAATATTTGTCACTAATAAAAAAAAAGGCAGAAGTCTGCAATAAATATTTTTGTTTTTTATTTGGGGGGAAAAGAGCGCATGCAGTGATCTCACATAGCTCATGAAGGACACTGCTGAAGGACTGTTAAGAGAAGAGACATGAGAATGAGTTAAGTATTGGAAAATATATCAGGGGTGAAGACTTCAGGACTTCAATCTATCAAGCTTATTAAAAGAAGGCTAAGCAGGGACTTGATCACAGTGTTTAAATACTTACACGGGGAACAAAGCCTTGGTGATGGATCTATTTTTCTCATTTTCCGCACTGTAGATGTACTTATCCCAACTAAAAATTTGTTTGGCCAGCATCATTTATTTTATCTATTTATTCATTAGATTGATATGACACCCTGCCTCAAAAAGGCTCCAGGTGCCTTACAATAAAAGACGCAATAACTTACAAAAGCAGATAAAACATTCAATAAGATATATGAGGTCTACAACAAACACTCCCTCCGAAGTATCCCACTCAGCCTTGCTTGCTAAATACCTGCCCAAGTAAAAATGTTTTGCAGTGTTTCCTGAAGATGTCCAGGCTCAGGCTCTGGCAGGCAACAAAGGGAGATCCTGAGCAGAGAGGCTACTACTGAAAACCTCCCACACCTTTTCACCAGGCAGACTTGGCACACAGATGAAACATGCAGGAGATTGCTCTCAACTGACCTTTGGGATCAAGGTGAAACATGTGGAAGGAGATGGTCCCTTCGGTACGTAGGGCCCAGACCATTTAGTACTAGTATTTAGATCTATATTCTGCCCCATCCAGAAAGGCTCAGGGCAGCCCACAACAAAAGGCAAGCAACCCCCAAAACAAGAAACAACAAACTGCTTAAAAGACACCCCAAAGCTTTAAAACTCCACCCCATCTAGGATCTATTTTACCTATTGATTTGATTTGGTTTGAATTGATAAAGGCTACATTTGCTAAGGAAGTGTGCAGCTGCAACTTCACTGGGAGGGTTTGCTGGTATAATACGGTACTAACAATGAAGACAAGGCTTGAATGTAGCAGTAAGGTTCTGAATACAAAATAGAAGTTTAGTTACTATATGCAGGTTGTGTTCTCTTGTCATTCTCAGTTAATGATCCTCGGATATCAGGGAGGCATGCTGTGGATCAGCATTTGCTTATATGCTGTCACAGATCTTAGTTAAACAACACATCTGGTTCTCTCCTTCAAATGATTCTGCCACCCCTGCCATAGATTCAGAGTAGACAAGACCTGAATTTTTATGTGAAAAATAAACTGCAAAGAAGAGATAAGTCATGAATGGTTTATTGACCGTTTGCAGAAACACGGGTCAGAGAAGCTGAGAACCATTGGTGCAGACAATCCGCACGTGTTTTAAACATGGAAAACGTGCCTATCTTTGGACATCCAGGTTGGTCAGTTTAGAAATCTTATTCACTAAACCAATATATACTTTTAGTAATGTTATTGACAATGTGATAGCCATCATTCAGGATGCTCATCACTTGTTTCTGGGTTTTGTTTCATTTTTGCCTGTAACTTATGTTGTGCAAAGGAAAATGAATGAAGTCACTTACAGTCCGTTTCACTTTTGGAGACTGAACACTGCCATGGTTGGGTTGCAAAAGCTGAATTTTTACATATTTAAAAAAAATCCCCAGCTACTTCCTTTTGCATCAAAGATCAGAGAAAGGACATCTATCGGTTTCAGATTTCATAAGAGTGAGTTTTACTGAATTTAAATTCTGATCCAAAATTCAGTCATTAGTGGTCATTCATAAAGCAATTCATCTAATAATTTACACCTGATCATTTCCAAACCAAGTGACATTATGAAGACTTGATGAAACCATGATTATTTTCCTTTCCTAGTTATTCACGTGCTTTCATCCTCCAATTTTTGGAGTGCTTTGGATAGCACATGCATATCAAATCTATCGGAGTTAGAAGCGGATCTCCCCCATCCTGGTCCTGTTTGCATGCAGAAAGACACTGCTACTGAAAGACCTAACGGACTGAAATACAGAAGGGCATCTGTGCGGGGTGGGGGTTGAGCTTGAATATTCTCTTTTGAGTTCAGCTTCCTCCTTTCATCCCACCCACCATCAGACACTTCCTGGCATCTCTTTGGAAGGCAGAGCAAGGCAGCTGCTTTTTTTCTTTTGCAACGGCTGCTCCTTCACTAATCGACTGAAGGTGGGGGAAGGGTATGTTACATCAGCAACAAATCCGGCCCTGCAAGTCTGGGATTTTCGCGCATGAGTGGGGAATTTGGAGGTGAACTGCAAGAGGGGGAAAAAAAGTCCCCGATATCACTTCCATGTTAGAGTGGAGGTGACCAAGTCTGCTCCGTGCATTTCTTGTATAAACTTCTGTCTTTTCTTGTTCTTTCTGTACCTCTCATTCCCCTTTGTCTTCAGAGCCTCGGGAGACCTTGCTTAGTGTAGGCCAGTGACATCACTAGTGCCATGGAAATGCAAATCACTGCACAGTAATCTGAACTCCTGCTGCTCCCACAGTCTGCCTGCTTCCTCCACCCCTCTCAACTGTGCCCTGTGCTGGGAGTATTAGGAGACAAAGCAATGGTAGCTGTGTAGAAGAGAAAAAACAAACCCAGACTGCTCCCATGTTGAATTCCCCGCTGACCCTTCCAGGCTGCTGAAGAACAAAGGCTGCATTTACACTGGACTCTTTTCTGAAATACTCCCTACCTCTGCTAATAGTGGTAGCCCCA